TATGAGTCAAGGCCGGGGAGAAGGATGATTTAGGTCTTTCCTCTGACATCAAAAACAAAAAAAAACAAAATATTTGCACGACCTCACATGTAAACGTGTCCTTTATATGGGTTTTTTCATCAGCACGTAAAAAGTAAACAGTATGGTGAGCAAAGTACCTGCTACAGAGTGAAAGAATGCAGAACATGTGGAGTGTGGAAACAGTTGGTTTTTTTCATGTTTTCACCGTGCCCCTTTAAGACCAAGCTGCTCCTCTGAGGGTCAGGCATCCAAAACAACTTAGAAATCATTGTATCTAACATTCTGTTATTAGACTTTTTTATCTCTTTATTTTATGTGTGACTTTTCAAGCAAAAAGCCAGAAGGCCACATTTAAGATACAGTCAGTGGAATTGCATAAAAACACAAAGGAGTAACTCTGAATGAATCACTGATCCACAAAGAAACATAAAGTACAATATCAGGCCAAAAGCATGTGGCCACTCCAGGCTAGACGAAGAACTCTTAACTCTGCAGCAAACAATGATATTAGTGTTTCCAGCTTTGTGGCAACAGTTTTGGGAAGGTCAACCGCGAGGTGGTAATTCTATTTTGCTAAAAAAGGATTATAACTGAGTGAAGTGGCCCGCAAGTATCAAAGTGGCAGCCCCTTTAAAACTGCAGGATCAGTGGAAGGAGCTTTCAGCAGACATGTGAGATGATGGCATGTCCATCCAAACCCAATGATTTCAGGTCAGGACCTCAACGTGTGAGAAATCTCAGCTTGCATTAGCCGTGGCAGCCTTGCAAATTATATCAAACACGGCAGTTGATGGGTGTGGAATGCATATCAAGATGTCTAACATGATAAACATGTATGTTTTTGCAGAGTCTGCTGACATTGTATCCACTGTCAAATCAGTGTCTGCATTCAGCATGTAAAACAAACCTGGCATGGAAAGAGCTCAAGAGAAGAAAAAAAAACAAAGCTGGTAGTTTCTGAGGTGACAGATTTCTGTGGGTCTGACCGCGCTGTATGTTTGGATGCACATCATCAAGCTCCTTTCTGCTTCTGAATTAGATAGAGTCTGATGTCTTGTGTGTTTTACATGAGTACTACAAATAAAGTAAACCAGCACTAGACATCTGACAGCCAAATGACTGCAGCCATGTGACTGCTCATTTCCTCCTACTATCAGCATCTCTACCACAAGAAGCTTTTTATTGACGTTTCGAATTGGTTGCAAAAAATTGAAGAACAGGCAAACAGGTTACTGGGGTTCGTCATGCTGCCGTCAGATGGCCACCACTCATTGGCTGAGCCTAGGGCGTGTTAGCTTTAACCAAGGGGAGGGGCGAAGAGGTCAACAGGTCAACGACTCTCACTGTGTTATCAGACAAAGTTAATAACTGTCCTTTAAAAAGAACAAGAGATATGAAGAAGCTAGAACCCAAACAGAAAGGCGGTTGACCCAAAAGGAAGTCATAATACACACAGAGGCTGACGACTGTCTCAGTGTCTCAATGCCAAACAACAACTCAAGGTCCAACGACGTCAGGATGTATGTTGTGATGTAGTCTCCCCTTGTTTTGGCTGCTGTTAGACTTTGACAAGTCTTTGGAGCTTTTGGGGCCTGTGTAAACCTATGTAATCCTACATAACTAGACCATAGCAAAGGTCAACACTGGCTTACGTTAACTTATATAATGATTACAGGCTGACTTCCACCAGACGTGTTTTACTGTTCTTTGTTTATGAGTATGCCATTTTACAGAAATATGAAGCAACATCAACAAAAGTTTTCTACTTTTATGCAAGGATCTGGCGCTGTGCTCTCAGTCTTTGTGTCCCTGCAATCTACGGTGGCCTGTAACTGACATTCACTTTTCTTTTTTTTACTTTTTATTTCATAAACTTAAAATATAGAAAAAAATTAAACTGTAATTGTGGCTTATGCAAACGTTTGGGCAGGTTGGGCTTAGTTGTTGTTATGCACAAGAGGAGCCTGTTTTTGTTTTGTTTTGTTTTGTTTTGTTTTGTTTTGTTATGTTTTGTTTTGTTTTGTTTTGTTTTGGTTTGGTTTGGTTTGGTTTGGTTTGTTCTGGTTTGGTTTGGTTTGGTTTGGTTTGGTTTGCTCTGGTTTGGTTTGTTCTGGTTTGGTTTGGTTTGGTTTGGTTTGGTTTGTTCTGGTTTGGTTTGTTCTGGTTTGGTTTGGTTTGTTCTGGTTTGTTCTGGTTTGGTTTGGTCTGGTTTGGTTTGGTTTGGTTTTTGTTTTATGGCAGTGTATCTTCATGCAAGCTGGCCCAGAAGGTCAAGTAATTGTTGCATTTTTTTGTCTGTTGGTTTAGTTTTTTTGTTTTGGTTTTTGTCCCAGAGTTCCTTGGGCATCTCAGGACCAGAACCTAATTCTCATCTTAAGCAATTTTACATCAAAAAGTGCCAAAAGTTGGTTGATCATTTGGAAGGATGCCCAGTGTTCATGGTAGATTCTTTAGACATAAATCTACTGAGCCCTGTGACAGACGGTAGATTGTTTTCACCTATTTTAAGAAAGAAACAATATTATTGTTAATGCTAACATTAAAGCAGGCTACTGCTTGCATGTTAAAGGGGCTATTTGTAAGTTTTCTCCGACACGTGAACGCCTGACCCTGAGTGTGGTTTCTTTCCAGGTACAGGTGGTGGTGACTGTCACTTGACAAGAGCTTTGGCCATAGTTGTCTTTATAATATAAGAGGTTACTTCAGTAGAAGAAAAGACATAATAGAGACAAGAGTCAACATTGGCATTGCTTTCCACCGCTGGAGATAACTCTTGGTGAGTAAAGGAATGAAGTTTGATGCTGAACTGGCAACATCTGTTCCAGACTGGTAATCAAACAGCTGTTAATGCTAACGCTGGCTATGTAGCAATAGCAAAACTTACACATAGCTCCTTTAAAGCATAATAATATAAGAGCTAAAGGGCCTTTCTGAACTTTATTTACATTATGCTGGCAATAATTCTGTACTTAAGAAACTTTAAAAGCAGGATTTTTACTTTTAATGGAGTATTTTCACTTACTTAAATGTGAAAAGGAATTTTTTAATGTGTGTCTTCTGCTGTTTCACGTTTGGCCCGCTTCCTTTTGAAAATGTGTGTCCATCGCTTCTCCTCACATCGTTTCGTTTCACATTTATTATGGCACATTGATCACGGGACGCTCAGTGCAGGTGACATTCCTCATGACTGTGAGTTTGCACAGCAAGGACATATCCCATGAGTACAATGTGGAGCCTTAAATAAACCGATCAAATGGACTCATTGTTTATAGTTTACTGGGTTGTGATCTGCCCGATTTACAACACACACTCTCCAAACAGGGTGTCATGCACATGCATCAATGAACTAACAACAATAGCACAACACACGGTACAATGTGTGCATCTGGAGCGGACAAAATATCATAAACGTTGCCATGAAATGGGGCTTTATCTTTATTGAATCATGCACCGACAGAAGCATTGCTTCATGGATAGTTCTTGGTGGGTTATCTACTGTTGTAGTTAGTTTGTTAACCTATCCTATACTATACATGTCTACATGTTTACTGTGCTTCAAATTGTTCAAAATGTTTATTATCATATATTATCATGGTTGGTCTTTTTTTTGGCAAATATCAAGTTGTTTTTTTTACCCTGTTCCTTCAAAGTTTCCTTTTATAGCTGACAGCAGCTGCCAATTTGTAAATCATTGTGATTCACTGTGATAAATATTGTGGCTGTAAACTATCAAATAAAGTGATGCTCAGAGGACAGTTCTTGTAGGAACAGTTTAATGTACAGTATGTTACACTTGTCTGTCTGTAATAAAGGAGTCATGTTGACAGAGGCAGGTGACAGTGTTGTTTCTTTAAGAGACAGAATATAAATTCAATATCAGCCCAGAAAATGTCCATAAAACACCAAATAGTCACTTCTTGAATGATTTGCATTTTCCCTTTTCATCTTTGTAGCTGTGAGAAATACTCCACGTTCACACTGTGGAGCCCTTTGTCAACCTCAAGTGCATATATATATATATATATATATATTTGTGAAAATACAGATTTATAATCAGCAAAAATATTCTTACATCATCAAAAATAAAAGTAGTTTTTACACAATAGCCCATTACAAAGTTTTTATATCATTATTATTTTTAATATTATTGACACATTATCATGTTATTTGAATGTTGTAGCCTTATTAGCCAAAGTCAATATATTTTCAATAGTTTTATGCTAGATTGAATTGTGTATGAATAGTGGTAATAGTATAAAGTACAATATTTCCCCTTGAAATGTAGTAAAAATATAAATTAGCATTAAATGGAAATACTCAAAAAATATCTCAAAATTGTGCTTGAATATATTAAGGATGACATTATATATTAATATACATAAATATATATATAAAGAGGTGAATGTGTTAACTTATCATGACAATCCAGTCCATATCTTTTTGTATACAGTCTATGGTCCATACATGAAAATTATTAACTTTTATACTATAATGGCGAGAACAGGGGCAACAATCAGGCACGTGATGTTCAAAACAAAACGTTTCCCAACCTGAGTCATGCTGAAACATCACATCTTGTTTGGCTTCTGGGGGGATAACTGCAGTGTTGATCAATAAGAAGCTGTAGGATCATTGCTAAATGGCTGTTGCAACAGCGGACGTTTCCTTTTAACAATAACGTGGACATCAGAAGCTGATAAAAATGATTTACAGTGTCTCCACTTCTATTGCTGCTGCTGCCGCTGCTGCTGCTGCTGCTGCTGGGAAGAGGGAAGTGAATGGATGGGGTGGGGGCTGACGAGCAGAACGGACACATTTTTTATTTCCTTTTTCTAAGTTGCGTGCTATTTTGAAGGTGTGACGGCACAACCAATGAAGCTGCAGCATTCTTTATGCGTCATTTTCAGCGGAGGAGGGGCGGGGTTCTGGCCCTATAATAAACCCGGCGGCTGCGCTCTTTCCCCAGACTCGACCGGGAGAGCTCAAGCTTTTTTCAATTAGAACCAAAAAAAACCCTCATAGAAGTCTTTTAAAACTTCTCCCAAAGCTTGTTTATAATATCTAACTATTATCTGAGATTTGACTCAACGTTTTGCCGCGTAGGAACTAGATTTTTTTTTTTTGGCGCTTAAAAACGGTGTTGTCACACATTGACTTTTTCTTGCCTCATCAGACTCTTATTTAATCTTCAGCAATGTTTCCAGAGACAAACAAAGGGTGAGTAAATTTTTTCAACATACTGTTCTTTCAGCTTTCTTCTCCCCATGCTGCCGAGCACATGGCCCCTTCATGGGCACGTCAAGGCGGTGGGCAAAAAATATACCGGGAATTTCGGAAGGGAGCCAAGGGAAATGCGCACATGCGCTCAAGACCAGGCTAAATAGAAAACCATTCATTCATTCTAGAGGGGGTGCTGCGTGGAATATCCCCACCTCTTTGACTGTGATTTATCAACTTTAAAGATATGTTTTAGTGCTTAGACCACTATTCCTTAAAGCAGCAGATGTCTACTTTATTTGACTTTATGGCAATTTTAAGATTTTAATTTAATTTTAAAAGGTGCTTTGAAAGTTTGTTTGCAGCGTCTCTCAGTAGAGTGTGAGTATTTATAGCTCAGTCCTAACAGGAGGTCCATTGATCCTGTGTGAAGGCAGAGCAGTCAGATTGTCAAATTGAAGTAATTGCACAAATTACATGAACTGAATGAGACAAATTAGAGGGGAGAAGAGGGCATTTCATCTCAGCAGACACATGTGTGAGTGCGCGTGCGTGCAACCACTGACGTGCACGAGAAGCGTGATACTACTGTGACTCTTAAGGAATGTGAGTTTGTTAAAGAGAGAGAGAGAGAGCGCGTGTGTCTCTCTTCAAAAGTCATATCCTTATTAGTAGTTCTCGGATTAGGCCTGCTGGGTGAAGGGTCTATCAGATATTGTGATTGGACAGTGAGGCCAGTCCTGACACATGCATGTTTTGGGTACCCCAATGAGAGGACCGGAAAAGACTTTATGAACTTTTTTTTTTTTTTGATGGCCCACCTATGCGGAGGGATTTCCCCCCGTGCTCCCAACGGTCAGTTCGACTGTGACAGAGCTGTTGAGCTGCAATCAGCTCTACAGTGAAATAAGACTTTACTCTTTTGAAATAGTCAAAAATCAAAATGTGGTGGTCAGTGTTGATATGGTGGTAAATAAATGGTAAAAGATAAAAAATTATAAAATCAATGTAGGCCTGTGGGAGACTCTGCTCTTATCCTGTAATCTGATGAGCACAGCACATGTTACTCAGGAGGTGAGTCAGGACTCTGACAGTGGGAGGAGGCAGGTCTTCTGCAGAGAAAGCACAAAAGATACAAAAAAAGTAACTGCTGATCTTTCTCTCGTCATTTATTCATTATGAAATGTAAAGGTGATTTTAAAGGTATTTTAATTTTTTGCTCACTTTGCTACCAGTGGTCGTCCTAACCTTTGACCTTTTTTTTTTTTTTTCATGTCATCCAGTTACAGCTACGAGGACTGCAAGGCCATTGCAGATTGGCTGCTGGCCCAGACAGACGTCCGACCCGCAGTGGGCATCGTGTGCGGGTCAGGGCTCGGAGGGCTGGCTGACATGTTAAAGGACCAGGTGGCCTTCAACTACAAGGACATCCCCAGCTTTCCACAGAGCACTGGTGCGTTAAACTACAACACACCTCTCTGTTGCAGACTCCCCGTCACACTCTGTTTGATATTTACTGACTGGTTTGTGTTTCTTCCTGCAGTGCATGGACATGCAGGACGGCTAGTGTTTGGCACACTGAAGGGGAGGCCGTGTGTTTGCATGCAGGGGCGCTTCCACCTGTATGAAGGCTACCCAATCCAGAAGGTGTGTGTGTGTGTCTGTGTGTGATTCACCAAGTTTCCGAGTGCATTTTAAACACTTGAACTAATTGGGTTTGACGTCCTGGCCTTTTAAAAAAAAAAAAAAAAAAAACACCATATCAAGTCATGCTGCTGCAAGATGATGCCGTCTGAATAGTTAGATAAGATCTATATTTATATACTGTGTGTGTTTTCCAGATTACACTGCCCATGCGAATCTTCAAGCTGCTCGGTGTGGAGACCGTGATGCTGACCAACGCAGCTGGAGGCCTCAATCAGGACTTTAAAGTGGGAGACATCATGATCATCAAAGACCACCTCAACATGCCCGGCTTCGCTGGCAACAATCCTCTGTCCGGACCCAACGATGAGAGGTAGGTCTTCTTCTCTGTTAAACTCATTTGCAGCAGCGCCAGGCCTCCTCCGTCCCTTGCCCCCTCACTCAACCTCCCACCTGTGTGTCCACGTCTTCATCTTGCAGGTTCGGCGTACGTTTCCCCTGCATGTCCGACGCATACGACAGGGATCTGCAGCAGATGGCCATGGATGTGGGACAGGAGCTCGGCTATGGAGACTTCCTGAAGGAGGGCGTCTACTGCGTGCTGGGCGGGCCCTCGTTTGAGACCATTGCTGAATGCCGTATGCTGCACAAACTGGGCGCTGATGCTGTCGGTGAGTAGATTTATGTAGAAATGCACCATTTATTTTTCCATATTTCTTTCTCGTCTCAGCTACAGAGACTTCTACACCCACAGGAAGAGACAAAACAAAGCTGTATAGTTTAATACAAACCTCTAACTCGCCAACATTAGTTCTGCATTTCTTCTTCTGTTGTTATAAACATCCAAAACCGACCAGCGAGACATCACATTTCACAGCTGTTTAAATGGTTTTTCCTCTTCCGCTTTCATTAGGCATGAGCACAGTCCACGAGGTTATTGTTGCACGTCACTGCGGCATGCGCGTCTTCGCCCTCTCGCTGATCACCAACCAGGCGGTGATGGACTACGACAGCGAGGAGAAGGCCAATCACGAGGAGGTCCTTCAGACAGGAAAGCAGCGAGCGGAGCAGCTGGAGCGGCTGGTTTCCACCATGGTGACCAGGATTGAGCACAACAACAACAACTACGCCTAAAGGACGCCTTGCTTCATTAGGGCCTTGCTTCATTAGGGCCTTGCTTCATTAGGGCCTTGCTTCATACTAGTCATAAACCAGATTTTAGCCGCGTAGTATCTCTAAAGGAGACTTAAAGTGGTAATGGTTCATATTTAACGCTTTTCTACCAAGGAAAATCCCACTCAGTTTATTATTAAGGTGAGGAGTTTGGGCTGCTTTTAATCTTAGGTCAAAACATGATAACATCGTAGTCATCTGAAAAATCTCACTTATTCTAGAAATTTAAAGAACGCACACAACCTTTGTTTTCATGTCACTGTGCCTTATCTGACATCGTACATTCCTCGGCTAAGCGGCTCCAGATTAAAAAGTCACTTCTAAGTTTTTTTTTTTTTTGTATCATTTTAAAAACGAGGCGTATTTGTTCTAACTTAATATATGATCATCTTGTATAAATGTCTGCAATTTAACTTAACAATGAGCCAAAATTTGCTGTAAAGATCCTAATATTACGTTGTTGAAATGTGTACATTAGTAAGGTATTTTACTGTGCTTGTTTTTTTAATATATATGTTGTTACTAAAGTACTATTTATTACTATATTAAGTTGTTTGTGTTGTTCTTTGGGGTGTGGAGGGTAGCTAATTCTTTATTTTATCTTAATTGATTTATTCATCTCAAACATGAAAGTAACACCTTTCTCAGCCTTGATTTCTAGATCCAATACAAATATATTCATTTATAATTAATTCAGAGACTCATGAAAAGCTCCTCATGTTTATTTTTTCAAAGTGTGTATTGAAGTTTAACAGAGAAAACTACACAGTAAACCAATGTATTGCATGATGAACGGGCCCAAAGGGAAAGAGAGGGTTACCACTGTAAACATTAGGTAATGTTGCATAAGCATTACGCTGCGAAAACCAAAGGACAATATTGCTGGCATTTTACAAATTTAAGAGTTTGACAGTCACTTTTCGATGACATGAAAAATATTGTTTCAAAATACAAAAAGTTAAAAATTGGTAAAATAATTGGCAGAACAGACAGTTTTGTTATTTAAAAACACTTGCAGGTCAACTCTGCTTGATAACATTATGACACTTTACATGTGCATCCTCCATACTTAAAGTGGCAAATTATTTTGTAATACGACTCCTCAAATAAAACATTTTGCTCCCAAGGTTGAACAGAAATCAAGCAGGCAGACAGCACATTTCACACTGCATGCACACAACATACCCATCCTTCTTGCATAATTGTTTACCTTCACCTTAAGTACTGACGTGTTCTTGTTCCCTTTGAAAGGCAAGTTTAAACAAGGCTGACACATCCCTTTTATAAACACTACTACATCAGTTCCAGTCATGATATAAAAGTTAAAAGATTTTTTTTTTTTTTTAAATTTTGCAAAACAGTCTGTAAAAAGTGCCATGCATAATGATAAGCAGATATGTCTTAAAGATAAACAGGATTAGTATTAGACTCAACACATTCTCTATGATACAGCACGCCACCATTGTCTCCGCACTGCAAGGCCCAGTGGAGCTTCATGAGTGGACCCTTGATGCTCAGGGAAAAGCAAAGTTTGGCACAAGATGTAAACAGAAAGCGCCAGGCCAGCAGCGTTGCTACAAAGGCCGAGTAGAGATACATATTATGCACATTCATTTGCGCTAAATGTTGGGTGTTGAATAGAAAAGGCTTAAGAGCAAGCTGGCACACTCTGCAGCTCTCCACATCCACCACAACTGGCACTGAGATTGTGATAACTGACAGCAGACCCAACTTCAAACATCTCCCATTAAAAAAGAAAAGAAAACTTTGAGAGGACCATTGTGCAGATTGTAGTTTGTCCCAAAGTACATGAAGTCTCAATGGCCTGACAACATGTTTTTATCACTGATTTAATAAAAAAAAATATAAGTAGTAAATTCAATTAGCAGATTAGTGTAGAGATTGTAGAAGAATCCCTTGTGTATACATTTATGATTAAGAGTGATCACTAAAGAGTAATCATTCCAGATAAAAGCACAATTACACCCATTAACTCCCATACAGTTTCTTAGTTTTGGTTTTGAGGCAAAAATATTGTTATTGGTTGAGCACAGTTTTCCAGTGCTAGTTAGCTAATTGGCCACATGTGTAGCACAAGATGGAAACAAAGCATTTCATGAGGTTAGCTTAGTTTATGTTAGTTTAGCTAAACTAGCTACCATAGCTGCTTGGAGAACCAAACCTGACTTAAAAAAAAAAAAAATAGAATTAATTGATAAATGAATAATTATTATATTGAAATAAATAATGCAGAATGTTTGTCTCAATTTCTTTGTGAATTTTATGTTTATAAATGTAGTGTTCATTCATTTATTTTTTTATTTTTTTATTTGACTACATGATTTATTTATTTACTTTCTTATAAATCAGGCTGGTTCTCTAAAAGCAAGCTAGGTAAAAGCTAGATTAGCTAGCATAAACATAAATGACAGCTAGGTTAAGACAGGAACTTATGGAAAGATGTATGGCTAGCTTGCGCATTTCTAAGCCAAGCTAACTACATATTGCTACATCTAGTAAAAGTTATTTTACCATAAAAACTTTTTTGTCTCCACTCACTGATATTAAATCAATAACATTATTTCTGCCCCTGGAGTAGGTTTGCTTTCAATAAATGTTTGTATTGCTAAAAATGGCCTCCATAGCAGCTCAGTGTGCTGCAGACTTGACTGCCAGGCTAGAGGAATAGAGCTTCCTACCGCTGGCCAAACAGGTGACAAATCAAGGATTGGCACATGTTTCCAATAATACAGGCACAGTAAAGATGAATTTACAGTCTTCAGCCTCAGAGGGCGTCAGCGGCGAGCAGCGTGGAGGAGAGGAAGAACTGGTGGAGAAAAGGCACTTCTGAAACAACAGATACTGGGGCCTGGAGCTGCAGCAGGATGCAGTGCAAGAGTTACAAAGGAGTCCACTCATCTCTAGGCAAACATGGTCAGGGTAATCCACTGCGGAACAGATAGAGCATGTGAATTAGGGAATGCTAATTATGAATAAGTCACAGGTACGTTATGCACATCAGGCATCTGTATGGATAACAATGGGAGTATGTGGCCATACCTGGAAGAAGGTGAGGGATATGTGACCGTCTGCGTCTGTGTCCAAGGTCTTAAAGGTTTCTTCAGAGACAGAAACAAAGCGAAGCACTTGTTACTAATTACAATTACTATAATTACTAATTGTACTGTATGGGAGACACAGTATAAGACGCTGAAGGTGCGCAGTAACGGGACTCACTGAACATGGTCTCCAGTCTGACCAGGCAGGTGACGAAGTTGTCGAAGTCGACTGCCATGTCGTCCTCCGTGTAGCGCAGGATGATCAGCTGGAACAGGTGGTTGGTCAGCTTGAAACCTGAATCCACAAGGGAACAAAAAGTTTGACAAAACAGTCATTAAAAGTGTCAGAAAAAGATGTTTAACCCCTGAGACATCGGAAAGACTTTCCGAACGCGCAAAGAAAAACGGAAGTGCCTCTTGTGCTTTCCTTCCCTTTTTCTCATATTGAAATGAACAGGAACAGTACCTGCAGATTCAAGAGCCATCCTCATCTCGTAGGAGCTCATGGTGCCCGATTTGTCCAAGTCAAACTGTCTGAATATGGTCTGGCATGGCGGCACAAACAGATGGAGAAAGTCAGAAATAAGATACAGAAAAGAAGAGACACAGAAAATGGAAAAGCCTTTAGACAGCAAACAAAAAAAAATGAGAAAAAACAGCCCACTGGCTGGATGTCAAAACAAGCAACAGACTGACGCAAGTACCATGAAGCAGAATCAATACTATTTGAGATCAAGTTTGAGAGATCACAGTGTAATCTTACCAGGTATCGTTTAATCTTTTCCCAGAGTACATGGAACTCTGTCAGGCCCAGCTTCCCACTGCCGTCCGTCTGATCCCAGTTAAGTTAAAAAACAACAGTGACTTTCTTAATCAACAACTACGACATCAGAGTGAACGTTTCATTGCATTTTTAAGCTTCTGTTATCACAAGAGGTCAAAATCAAGGCGAGGACCCAGACAGCTACGAAATCAAACCAGCGAATCTGTTTTTCAGTTTATATTCATGTATCTAACAAAATAAAAGCTGAGCTGATGTTTTAACGCTGTTTCCAGGATACGTCCATGAGGTTTATCATGCTGCGGCAAGCTTCCTTTGTGAATCCGTCTGTCTTCAGGTCTTTATCTGTTTGCAAGAGAAAGTAAGACAAAAAAGGGAAGACACTTTTTTATTTTAAACCATTTTAAAAACTGAATCCATAATTTTATGAGCAAAACACAAGCTTGTGATTCCACTGCTCAGTTGAGAGTGATCCCTGCTGCTACTGACGCTTGCTGATGATCCTGTTCATTATGGTTTGCAGCTCTGTGACACTGATCTCCATGTCCTGTTGGCACAGACAAAGAAGGACAATTACATTATATATGATTATGTATAAATATACAATTTCTCCAAGCTGCCACTCCACTTCCTGCGAGCGTGAGAGCGTGAGAGCGAGCTCACCGGCCCCGCCAGTTGTCTGAAGAGATTCTTGAAGGCTGCGTCGATCTGGCTCTCATGTAGCTCCGTCTGAAACGTGAAAAAAAAAAGTTTTCAGCACACGTCTTGTCTCTTGATGTCTCACTCATTCACTCAATCATTAGACGTCATGTGTTACGAGACAGTGTCTCATCCTCTCACCTCTGTTGGCAGCTCCGCCGCAACGTCGTCATCAAGCTCCCTGACGTAGGAAGAAGATTTTCAAAATGTTAACTTTAATTTATTTCTAATTTTCTTTCAGACTGTTTGTACTGTACTCATTTATATTTAAGTTATTCTTTAACATTATATATTTTTTTAATTTTTTGCCATTGCAAGCTGGTCAAAAACCCTTGGTGCAAATGTTTTATTTGAAGGTTTTGAAAAAAAATAAGACGACAAAACAATCATTAATAATCACAATTAAAATCTTAAATGTGTCAAGAATTTGGATTGTAAGGAATTGTAAGGATACATTCTGCACAAAACTTTCATTTTCACGCATTTTCTTCCCCCAAAACTTGATCTCATGCCCGAAGTTCCCTCACACCCCAGTGCGGCCACTCACTCGGAGTCTGCAGGCTTCTCAGAGAAAACCCTGAGGACGAAGTCGGCCTCTTTGTGCGGATCGAAAGTGGAGGGGACGATGACGTACTCCCCTGCCGGGAGCCGCAACCGCGAGCTGACCTCCCTCAGGTTGATGAAGAGCTCGGAGCGAGCGCTGGAGGCGTGGGTGAGGAAAAAGTCCCGCTTCAGGTGGACCCCCGACCTGCCCATATACTGAGAAGGGAGTTAGTCTGCCTTCAACAAACTCTTTAAAAAAAAGGTTTGACAGTGTGTTGTTTATTCAGGAGGGGAAAACAGAAAAGCTCTTACCTCATTTGGAACCTGTGAAGAACAAAGAGATTTATTACCATCAGTGAAGTGATGAGGAACATAAAAACACAGAAAAGAGAAGTTAAATAAAAGAAAACTACGACAACAACAACAACAACGTGTAAGATCTAACCTCGTAGACGGCGAACCCGATGGTCTCCATGTCTTTGCCTTCTCGCCGTTTCTTCCTGCGGTCCTTTTGCATGAGGGCAACCAGGAAGCTGCAGTCTGCTTGTCCGGGAGTGTCCGGGTGCTGCAGCACGAGCTTGAACTGAGGGTTGAGCCAAAAGGTTGCTGCAGACAGGAGGTGAAAAATGTCAGATTGTTCCCTTTAACGTGGAATTCGGTAATTATTTTCCACATTGGAGACTGTGTCTTCTAATGAACGCTGAAAGGCCCTTTTGTGAAAGATAAACACCAACAAGATGTCAACAAGAGTCATCACATTTGGGAGGATCGTTGATAAGCTATTAACATTTTCATAAATCCCTTACCTAAAATGGATTTATTTAAGGATTTTATAGGTAGTACAGTAAATAAGAACCCAGTTTTTGTTGTGTCAGTCACGGTAGTTTAGGAAGACACAGTTCACTTTCCATGCATGTCTCTGTTTGTTCTGGGGCAATTCCAAAATTTATTTTAAAGCAGATCATTGTTTGAAAACTCAGTGTTTAAATGGGAGTCACTGGTTCACATTCCTTCACTAAATTAATCCAAATCCTTCCTCCATACTTCCAGGAACAGAATTTAACAGAATCCGAAAGCTGGTCTGGCGAGTGTTTCACTTATACCTCCAGTTTCCCACCTGTTTCTTCCACCCCTCCATCTGCAACCTTACAGTTTCCCCCTCTTTCCTGCCCGCCATCGCTTCATACCTGGGTAGTTCCTGCAGCCTCCGGCAGTGCTGCCTCTCCTCCATTCTCCCTGGTAGAGCGAGGAGCTCCATTTCTTCAGCTGGTTGTTCTGCAGGGCGTCGGCTGTCAGGTTACAGATCTCCAGGCGACTGAACTCGCGCAGGAAGTCGCTGAACGACATCCTGAGAGATGGAAACACTGTTAGGACAATGTGGAGATGTACAAGAGGGGAACCTCCCTGAACCTCGTTTCAGGGATACAGAGGTATATAAAAAGAAATGAAAGAGCGTGTACAACATATACAATCATATTTACAGCTCTCTTAAATCTGGAATATTTTATTTATTGCACATAAACAGCTGTAAATAATCTTCAGGAGAAAAAAAAAATGAGACATAACAAACAAATTCAATCCTATAATACCCTCATCAAAGTTAACAGGATGTTAAAAGAGTAAATCTGAAAACTCTTTGTGGGCTGACACCCACCTTTCTGTAAAAGAAATGCTCATGTATACTCACCAGAATTCACCGTCCTCGCTGCGGTTTTGTAGCCGACCTCTGACGGAGCGGTCCACACTGTCCCACTCTCTGGAGCTGAGGATTTCACAAGTATAAATCAGCCACTGGACACTCTAAGTGCTGAGGTCACAGACAAAAACTTCAGGCAAAACTTGCTAAATCTTTTTGTTGTTTTTGTTTTTTTTGTCTGGTCCATATCATTTGTCCTTTGTGTTTCTTTTATATCAGACATTTTGTCCTAAAGCAGCTTCTCCAGTCACCCCTCTGATCACACAATCCGTTCTTCTTTTCTTCTCCCTGTTATTTATGGCACTGGGGATATCTGTATCAGATTTCATGGCAGTGCATTTAATTGCTCTTGTGATATTTCAGTCTGGATCACAGTGGTCCAACTGCAAAGGGTGTCGGCCTCCTCAGTTTTACTGGGCGAAAAGTGAACGTTTCAGTTAAAAGTTACTTGAAAACCTTTGTCAGTATATGGAGGCTATTTCTAGACTTTGGTATGTAAATGATATTGTCACTTAATCAAATCCTCCAGAGTTACACAACACTGAATAATTCAATTATGAGCATCTTTCTTTTCCAGAACAGTTGCAAATGCTTCTTATCAGCGACAGCGTGTTAAGTGTTGAAAATGCTCAATAGGACTATGACATAACAGCGCCAGGGGGAAAATGTCTGGTAATTTTCACTTTCATTACTATAGCAACATGATGTATGTGATCACACCCACTGATGAGGACAGCTGTGCACCCGAGCTGAACCCCTCTGGTGAAAGCTTTGGAAGCTAAATGCAATTTTAGGTTTTTAATCAGTTTGTCTCAGTCACTAAAAAGAGACTGGTGCAGGTGCGTGGGATGGGTTGCCATTTAATGCCACATTATTAGATCAACAAGAATACAAGTCAGATCTTACTTGTCGCTCCAGGCTCCGGTCCATTCCACTTCCCCCCACGGGTTCCTGATGCGGACCAGCTTGGTCATGTTTCCTCTGTACACCACCTACGAGAGGGAAGAAACACCACCTGACATTCACGTCTCGTCCCTGCTTGACCCACGTCTGCCTCGTGGCGTTGTGCAGTGCGCGCACACACACATACACACGCACACACACACACACGCACAGTCATGCGTGTCCGAAATGAATTGTTACCGTGAAACGCGCCGTAATAAAAAGGGAGAAACCAGCCAAAACACTGATTCCAACAACGTCCGTCAACTGTTTCTTTATTAATCATGTGACAATTAAATTAGGAAAGAGCTGTTACTGTAGGAAACACTGCAGAACACTGATCTCTGTAGCTCAGTGTGTGCAGCATGACACACACTGCACAGTTTAGGATTTTCAATCTATAACTTCTTGAATAAAAATGTAATATTTTACAGAATGAACTCACAGTTTTTGCCTTTCCATACGTCAACATTCAATGCTGATTCAATGACTTACGCTCAGACTCACAGCTCTACAATACGTTCTCGTCAGCTTTTTTTTCTAGTTGACTTGACTTTGGAACCAGCTAATTCATTTTTATACAAACCCTTTGCACATAAAACCAGACTAAAGTGCATCCACTTACCCAAACATGTTATACAAATTACACACACTTATATAACATGTGACAGAAGTCCAGTTAAAGTTGTTCCACTTGTGTAAATAATCATTACAGCTCTCTTGGCTCATGTTTCCCAAAAAGTATCTTTAAAGTTTCTTTGTGTTTTAAGGCCTGACAAGAGAATTCACCGCTCTGTGTTGGCTTGTGTGAAATAACAGTGGTGGCATTTTGTCTGAAAGCCTCTCAGAAAAGGTCATTAGTCATTGGTCCTCACCTCGTCCACAGCGGTCAGAGAGTAGGCGTGTCCCTTCACCAGTTTCTTGAACGTGACGGCCTCCATGTCTCGCGTGCTGGTGATCTGAGGGCGACAGAAAAGAGTCGAGGTCAGTGACGTCCACAAGGCGACGTCAGGAGGACGTATCTGCCCGCCGCTCGCTCCACATGTGACACGGGGTTCCTGACATCCGCAGTCACTGCTGTGACACGGCTCATTCGTTTACATCAACAGACTTTACAGGGTGAGAAATCCATCAGCGAGATGACTGTCGCTGGTTGTTCCGCACTTAGGTGAAACACAACATGATGTCAGCTGCAACGTGGCTCACATGCACAACAGCATTTGTCTTTAATCTTTACACTGTTAGCACTTCATTTTTGGCTTCATCTAAAACAATAACTATAACTAACTATGATATATATTTTGTAGTGATGCTCTTGTGATGTCATTTAAACCTCATCACAGTGAAACGGAAACCAAACTCCCTTTATTTTTTGTCGTTTATCTCTTTATTTTATTATTTCTGCAGGAACTGTCCCTAAACAAGACCGACAGAGGTCAGTCAACATCCGCTCTGCAGAAACGTCCCTGATAGTTACACCGCAAGTTTCTCATACTTCACTGCCCTCTCCTGGTTTCCACCCCAGATCAAATTTCCCACATTCTTCTGCCGCTGCAGCACCCATGTCGAGCTCCAGCGGTGAGACCTGGGAGACATCTACACAAGACCTGCCTTTTCCAGACTTTCTAGAAACAGCAGCTCCCTTTTTAAAATCTGTAAAAATATAAAAGCATCTACAGCTAACCCTGACCTCTGACCTCCCCCGACAGGGATCAACCAAATGTATGTGAGATGGTGCACGGTGTCACACACTGTAAACTCGACTACCTCCTGTTTGATTTGTAATATGTAATTAAGTTTTTGCCCAAGCAAGAGAAATACAACATTTAAGAGGCTGGAGCAGAAACTTTCCAGCAGTTTTACAATTTTAAAAACTAAATCTGTTGACGAAACAATTGATCAAGTAATCATTTCTGCACTCGATGTATTACTACAGGGTTAAAATTTATATAAGTGAGAAGTTAATTGCTGCGAAGAGCACTGAGACTGGAAAAGGCTGACTTCATCTCCACAGGCTCTAGTGGTGTCTATTTTTAAAGAAAACCCAGCTGGAGGTAATAAAAACTGAGATGATGGATTGTTTTCATTATTTTACATCAGACCATTTAAAATCTCTTTTTCAACACTGATGTGTTTCTTCTACCAGACGATTCCAAAGAAGTTAAAGACTGAGTTCATTCTGGGAGACACACTTATTACTTTTCCCAGAGGAGTGAGAGGAGAAGATCGATACTATTTTTTTTACTTCAGTTTTTTAAGGAATTTGGTTGAACTTAGAGGCAGGTTTTTTCTACTGTACGACAGAGCAAAGTTCGCTGTTTCCTCTTGTTTTCATTCTTTGCGCTAGGCTAAGCTAACTGGTCACAAGTGCTAACTTCATATTGATGATTCCCTGTCAGCGACCCCTTTCACACTGTTTTCACACTGTCATTTTCCACATTGTTATTATAAATGTATAGATTATAGCTGCTTTGATTAAAAAAAAAGGGGGACACACTGATAGATCAGTGTAATTATCCCATTCGCTTGGGTTAAAGGATGCGTGCTCGGTGCAGTACTGACGTCAATGGAGCAGCCCAGCAGCGATCCTCGGTCTATGGCCCTCCTGATGATGCTGTAGAGGTCAGAGGGGGCTTTTCTCAGCTCGTACATCTCCGTCACGCCGCCGGTGAAGTCCTCAAAGCCTTCTGACGTGCTGCCGCCTGACAGAGCCTCATAACAGCCGTTCAATCTGCGACAATTAACAACAGATTAACGAGCAAGCAAAAAGTGCGTGGACAACAGGACACACAAATTAAAAAAAAATAATGCATGCTGATTAGTATTAATGTTGATGTTTATACATGAACTATGCAGTCAGAAGACCTGACAGTTGTTAGCTACAGTATGTTCTCTCAGATGAAACACAGCTCCACACTGTGAGACATGACCATATATGAACGTGCACCCACATACTTACAGAGCAAGAGTAACAATGCATTAATCTCACTGTTACATAACAACCACTGCTCCGTCGCCCCTCTGTTTCCCCTCTGCTCTCCATCCGGGAAGCTCGCTCACTTTAAACTTGGCAGTCGCACATGTCTATGAACAATGTGCATCGCTTTTACAGCTCCAACACATTCACAACTGAGACCACAGCTGTCCGCTGGAGCAGCTGGAGTCTGGAGCTGCGACATGTATCTCGCAGTTGTTCCCTTTTCTGAATCCAGTTTGGAGATTTGAACCAAAAATCTTTTGGACGTGCAAGGAGCTACATCTCAGACAACCTGAATAAATTTTGCATTAGCTACATGCTGTTTTATTCATTTTTCATTAATGAAGTTGCACAGAAATCCTGCAAACTGAAATCCAACTTTTAAAGCACAAAAATAAAGCTAAACATAGCGCCAGCATGTAAAGTAAGTGATAAAATCATTTAAAAGTTCCAGAAAGTTACCGGAACAACAACATATGATTTTTACAACGTGACGTGAATGCATCATTTGCCTCAGAGATGATTAGGATCTTGATTTGCCCCCCTGTCGGTTTGTCAGTCTTACTTGGCGTAGGCCTTTTCCAGCAGCGCGCTCCAGAACTCGGTGCCCTCTGCCGAGTGGACGAACAGCAGCTTCCCATCCTTCACTGGCAGCCGGTCGTCGATCACCACGTCCAGCCACTCGCCAAACTGCCAGAACTGCATGACAGACAGAAGAAAACGTCAGTATGACTACTCATATAAGAAATAAGGCTTATTAAGACTCACGCAGTACGAATAACTATATATGAAGCAGGTTAAAGGACACAAGATATCATCAGCAGGAAGGTAGTTTGGGTCCCACACCAAACTCACAGGATGGAAAGACAAGAGATTTTTTGTTTTTTATGGGGGGGGGGGGTTATGGCGCATAAAACATCTTTTCAGCTTTGAAGATCATGCAAAAGAAGGAGATGAAAAACTGACATCAGTGGTAGAAGTATTGAAATAATTTCCTTAAGTAAAAGTAAAAAAAAAAGTACTGCATTAAAAACTTTTACTTAAAAGTATTGAAATATGTGTCAAAAGTAAAAGTACTTGTTATGCAGCATGACACCTGCAGAGTTATATTGTTACATTACTGGATCATTATTACTGTTTATTACTTAATATGTAAGCAGTGTGTAATATTGTAGTATACTGAGGTGGATCTTATCTGGTGTGTGTCTATTATAATCTACGCATCATAATATATGAACTGATCATGTTTTTTATGTGAAATTTTGATCTAAATTCTAACAAGTAACTTCTGTTGTTACGTTAATGTGGTGAAGTTAAAAATACAATATTTCCCTCTGAACTTTGCTGGAATAAAAACTGAAACTGAATAGAAGCAGAAAATGGAAATACTCAGGCCGACCACCTCAACATTGTACTTGAGTAGATCGATCAGCCGTATCATATTTCTGCTGCTGTCTAATTTATCATTTATCTGACCGGACTAACAGACAGATGTTCCTTCACTCAGCTCAAATTTCCATTATTTTGAAATCTAGAAAACAGGAAATGGGACAAAGGGGAAAAAACTGTCTGCAACTCATCACCTTTGGCCACACAAAAAAGACAAACATGTGACAGAGCTTTTGTGTTTCAACCCTAAAGAGGCTGAATTAAAGCTTAAGTCTCTCTTTCTCTGAATTGTTGCTGTACTTTTGCCACATCGGCCCGTCACACACGTGGCTGTGAGGCTGTTGGCCAGCAGGGAGCAGAAGAAACCAACACATGAAAGGGGGGTGTGGGTGGGTGGTGCCACAAATTGGAGCCAGAGCCTTTTTTACAAGCAGAACTGGTTCAAAAAGGGTCAAAACAAGCTGAAGTCAAAGTGTCAAAGTGTCAAAGTGTCAAAGTTGTCGACTCCTGCTGTTGCCTAGAGACACAACCAAAAACTGCATGCTTCAAATTTGCAAAAGCTTGCACGACCCAACAATAAAACCATTACACACGAGTTACCACATCGAAAAAAAAAAAAAAGACTACATCTACATCACATCTACTTCGGTTGGAGACAGTGTGTGTGTGTGTGTGTGTGTCTTGTTTTGTGTCGTTTTGTTTCGCTTTTCTGTCAGCACACATTGTGTTGAGGGAGAGCTTGTGCAAATACAAACTGAAAAACCAGTTGCACTTAGACTGATACAGAGACCTCAAGGCACTAACACAATAAACCTCATGCAAAAATAAGACTGCACAAGAGCGAGCAGCACAGCGTAAGAAATGTGTCTTTGTCAGAGTAATTCAATTTGTAGATGAGACAGAGAGAAAGAGAAAGAGAGAGAGAGAGAGAGAGAGAGAGAGGGAAATTGCAGGATGATCATTTGGCAAATAAAAGTCACACAGCTGGAGTGTGTGTGCATGTATCTACTTGTACATGTGCGCTTTTATGTGAGTTGACTGGATGCACTATGTGACGGTGTGTGTGTTTTTGTCTGATGTGAACAGCAGTGCTGTAACACTGCCGAGTCTTTATCTCACAGCGATGTGAGGCCAACACCCAGCCTCACTGAGAGAAAGGAACATCTTACCACATCTGTGTCATGACTTGCACGCTCTAAAGCTTGAGAAATCTTTTCTCAAACACTTTCGAGCCTTTCTGTGTGAAAGTATGTGCTATAATAAGAACATCAAAGCAGATCCTGCCCTAGTTAACGATTTCATTTGTTTCTGATGGCTGAGATTTGCTAGTTTATAATTTATTCGTCTTCCTGCAGTCTGCCTCCCTCCCTCGCTTGCTTGTTGTCCTTCTTCTCTTTTTCTTTCCCGCTTAAGCCAATTAAGATTCCCACTGCCCGCGCTCATAATTACATTTTGTTTGAGATGATTCATCCAGGTCTGAGGCTTAAAGGATCCAAAGCTATACAAAGGGGAATCCCTGGAAGACTCAACGGCACACAGAAGTGAACAAAGAGTGGAAACATGCTCAGGCAGAGAGAGAGAGAGAGAGAGAGAGAGAGAGAGAGAATCTGCAAGTAATGGAAACAAGGAAGCTGAGAAGCATGTATTGGCTGCAATGCTAAGTCCATGAAAAGAGGCCGATACTAAAAAGAAAAACAAGATACATGCAACAGAAAAAGAGCAGGGTGAAACTAGGGCAACTCTACCACTGAATGGAAAGGCAGCCACATGTATTTATGAGCCATTTAGCTTCCGTGCATATACATTAAACACATGCATTTCCAAGCCTCCAGAGCAAATTAAACTATTATTTCCACACATTCTGGCAGACAACGAATGTGTGTGTGTGTTTGTGTGTGTGTGTGTGTGTGTGTGTGTGTGTGTGTGTGTGTGTGTGTGTGTGTGTGTGTATGTATATATGGAGGACGGCTGCATTCAACAATGTAAAAATGAACACAGTGTCTCTGGAAGTAATCAGTGAAAAACAGGCCTTGGCTGACTCCTCTGTAACTGAGTCACCAGCCCCAGCGGACATTTGTAAATGGGATCTCTGTGTGTGTGTGTGTGTGTGTGTGTGTGTGTGTGTGTGTGTGTGTGTGTGTGTCCATGATGGTATTTATCGATCCTTTGACATGAGCTGAGTCAGCTACAGCACAAAGCTGAAAAAGTCGACAACTACCAACACAAAGACGCTTGAATCAAGGGTTGATGGATGGACTTCCCTCCTAACCTATAGCCTAACCTGCGTCTGTGTGTGTGTGTGTGTGTGTGTGTACAGCACGCACAAATGTTGGCAGCTGACAGAAGCTGGTTTGATTTATCAGTCCGTTCATTTCTGTTATTATAGCTTCCATGAGTAATCAAGCAGAAGTGAACCAGGCTGAGCGCTGTGGATGTGGACGTGTGTGTGCGTGTGTGTTCTACACTGCAAGTTCCTATGCGTGTAGCATGTGGCTTTGATGTGTGAGAGCTTCCCCTCTGCTCCCTGCTTCTCTTCCTCCTGTCCCTCTTAGTCTCTTTCTCCCTCATCAACACTTGGCGGGCTGACAGTCTAGCTGGCGGAGCACTGACTGCATCAAACAGGGCGGCTGACTCAGCTCACACGGCTCTGCAACAAAGCAGGTCGAGACGCTGGGAAATTATTCATCAAAAAAAACATTTTATTTCATTTGCCTCTTACTCATTAAAGGTTGAAAATAATAAAATAAAATTAAGCAATTGGCAATCAGTGGGTGAAATAGGATCTGGAGGCTCGCAGGGACAAATTTTCAGAATAAAAGTCTGGTTTTGTGCAGGCCCTCTCTTCTCTCCAGCTGTCCTGGCAGATTCCTCTGCACTAGAGAACATGACAGAAACATGAGAGCAACACTTCTTGGTTCACAGGCGCCTCTGTGTTGCAGAAACACTGATGAACGCACCAGATGTGTGCACGCGACGCACACACACACACACACACACACAGACAGACGGAAAAGCACACACTCACTAACAGATAATGAGGCATGTGAGATCACAGGACGGACAGGACTCCTCCCCACAGCTCTAACTCACATCATTAACAGATGAGTGAGAGCGAGGAAAGATTCACTGCGGTCGAACATGATCCTCTCTGAAGTTTAAACAGTTTCAAGTGGCTCATTTCGCATTAGTTTTAACTTGCATGTCGTTATCTACCGTATTACAATGGCTGGCTTATTAAGTCGAAGTTCAAACTCATTTAAGCTGCTTAGGAAAAAGAGTCAGCTCTTGAGTGTTGTATATTGATGAGGCACAAAGTCACAGTAGTGGCCCTATCAGCTGATTGTTGAGCACATTGTTGGATGACTGAAGTGTGGACACATCTTATCTTTTCTTAGATCCTTAGCACTAGTACAGAGGACAAAATGATTTGTTTGATTGAATAAATCAAAAGTTTACAGAACAACTCCAGCTTCATCACCACTGTCAGTGTCCTGTTGGTGACACTATAGCAATTTAATAAAACATTTTTCTATTTATGTTTCACTTAGTGGCAAATGAGATGAGCCGGCTTCCGTCACTGGAGCCAAACATTGTTATTTCTACATTATTATGGAACAAATAATTTAGTGTTTTAACACAGTGGTTCTCCAAGTGGGGTCCGGGAACCACCAGGGGTACTTGAGGGGGTTCCTGTGGGTTCCCCAGTAAAATGTGAAAAAGTTTAAGAACCACTGCTCTAATAGACTGCAAGGATTAGTTTCACAATATGAGAAGAATAAGCCACAACTTTTCAACCTAGTTCCTTCACGTTGGTGGTAAAATACGCCACATTCAAACTGAAACACACTGACGGCAGCATAAAGAGGCTTTAGGATGTGGCCAACACCTGTGTCACAGCGTCACTGTGCAAGCAGCTACACTCTCAAATTTACCTGTGGTTCTGGCTGTTTGCTTGAATGCGTGTTGGTTTTGTATACAAAGCAAAGGTCAGCTGATAAGGCCGCGCTCTCCGCCAGAGGCTCACATCAAAGAGGCGGAATAAAAGAGCAAATATTTAGTGTTTACGTCACACGGCGGCACGACTGGTCCTGCAGACCGGAGAGGCGACACTTTAGAGATATCAGAGGGAGGCTCAGGGTGTGATTGTTAAGAATAGTTTTGTCTTCATAGATGTGACTGACAGATTTAAGCTTCTCTAAGTTTCAGAATTCTACATCTGACAAAGAAATGGGTGTTGGTCATTCGAATCCACCCAGGTAAAGTTTATTGAGTGACTGACTAACTGACTGACTGACTGACTGACTGACTGACTGACTGGGTGTGGATCAGGTCAGTGATCTTGACTGACTCAGTGGAGCTTATGACAGAAGAATTACTATTTTAAATCCTCATTCTCACTGGGATATTCAACAATCACTCACTATCAAAAAATCAACCAATTATTATTCAATAAATCTGCTATACCCTGATAAACATTACATGGTTTATACAACATCAGAAAAAAAAAGGACAAATGGCCACAACTTATCGCAACCTCCAGAGCACAAGGTGTCACCTTGCAAATGCTTATTTTATTTAAATGGCCATTTAAAATCCAAATGGATTCAGTTTAGAATCATATTCCACTTTTCATTTCAGCGCTATGTCCCATGCTGTGAGAGCTGCTTAGTGGCCAATAGCATGAGTGTTTGTCGCTGTATTAACATGGATCGGTAAGCCGCCCATTGTTTTGTGCCTAAGAATGGTCCGGACAGGAAATAATATATGACTTTGACGGTTGAACGTGAAATGAGTTTTCTTGTAATGGATCAGAGTAAAGTTAAACAAACAACATGTGTGGCGTTCCTAACAGGAAATGACACAAAACGAGGAGCTGGGGCAGAAGCACAACAACAGGAGGTGAGCTGGGCAGAGCTGCTGGCTGCCATTCATTTTCTATGTCCAAATGGTTTTTCATCCACCTGGCTCAGTGCTTGTGCAGACATGATAAATATGAGTAAGTAGAAGTCATAAGTCTGCGAGGGTCTTGTGAACGTTTGGGTTTAGCCTACGATGTCTACGATTCCCTCATGGAGCATGATGGGATGGCCAGCCGTTAGAGGAGGGGACACAGTGGCGGGGAGCAACATTGGATTTTGTTAGACAACTTAAAACCGAGTTTGCCGGTATTCTACGTCAAATTGATGCTGGCACTAGACGTCGTCGTGACACTGAACCACGTGGGTGGCCAGCTGCGTGCCTGATGGGTAAATGCAGGAAGTGAAGGTTTTGTCACCTGGAAGTGAAAGATGCCGGCATATCCCTGCTGGAAGCCCTGACCGTGAGGAACCACTCTGTGGAGGATGGTGTCGTTTAAGGTCAGCGAGGCGATGGCAGCCAGCAGCCAGCAGTCCCCTGTGGAAACACACACACATACACACACACACACACACACACACACACACACACACACACACACACACACACATACACACACACACACAAACACACTGTTTTATTATCCTGAACCAGCCATGAATGCCAAAACTTTTGACTCAGCCCTCCCATGATACATTGACTGTATGTTAACAAGAGTCGCAGCAGGTTGTTTATGTAAAACAGGAGCTGGATTTCAAATAAAACTGGTTCCAGCAGATCCATTCCCATGTAAATAAAGATCTAAAAAAAATCCTACAGCTACCTTTCACCTCTACATGAAGGCCAGAGCTTTTCTTTCCACAGTGGTCTACATAACTCACTCATACCACTGAGATAAAACTTGAAGTACGCCTGTAGGACACAAACATGGAATCCACCCTTTAACAGCTCAGTGAAGGCAAGAGTCAGGAACTATGTCTGAACAAGCTTTGCCCTCAGGTAAATGGGAGAGGCACTTGTTCCACTGGACTTAGGAGAGGGGTTGAGTCTCCCACTGATGTTATTAGTCAGAATCACACTGTTGGTTTAAGCCTCAGCAGTTATGATATACTGTATTGCATAAGTTTCTCAGTGAGCGGACAGGGAACACCCCGAGTGACTAGTATTATTTTCACAGTTTCACCACACATGCAGGATCTGTGTAATCTGCTCTGTTGTACATTTTGATGTGTCTATCCTCATATCTGTATACATGCCAAGGGTCGTCACTATTCTCGAAACTTTCTGTTTCATTCTAACCAGTGTTGGATCTATAAAAGCTGGTTAACGATGCACAGTGCCATTTTTTATCTACACCAAGGGCAATTCAAGAAATAAAGCACAGGTTGCTTCACTTTTATTTCCACACATTTCTATTCTTATCTGTCATATAAACAGCGCCTGAAAGCAGCTGCTGCTCTGATTGATAACCCCTCAGCACGGACAAAATGCTACTCAGTCATGGTGCATTTTGGCCTGTAAAACAAAGTGATGCCTGATGTTTTCCAGCTCAACCTTTTTGGGGTTGTTGTTTTGCAATGCAGTTGTTCCTGTGGGAGCGAGGGGAAGGAGGGGAGAGGTGGGGGTTGAATTATTGCATTTGGAGATGGTGGGGGTCGTTTCCTGCGCCGCCAGGGCTCCTCAAACAGAGGGAGGGTGGCCTTGTTTACAGATGTGACGCGGAGAAACAAAGCATGAATTATAGATGCAGGAAACATCTCTGGCAATCAGCTGTTACTGGTTCTGCTGGGCTGACTCTTAACTCTCTCCTTCTGTCCATCCTTCTCCATCTGCCACTCATATCCTCCTGATTCAGTTTGTCTCTGACCTGGTGTGTTGACTGAAGTGCTCAGTCTTATTTACAGCTGAAGCCTGGACTGGTAGTTGCACATGAAAGGAGGAATCCCGACACATTTAGTTTAGTGAAGTCATGTGTTTGACACAGGCAATGCAAGTATGCCAGTCAGCCGATTTTCACCTGTTGTCCCTTTCCAATAGAGTGGTAATCTTGGCCAAAATGATCCTAATATGCATTTTTTAAAGGGTATTCCACCAGTTTTATACATCAACATCAGTTTACAAGGAGAGTACAACTAAAACAGTTGCAATATATGCATTTTCCAGACAGTGAAGATCGAAAGAAGAGATGCTATCAAGCTGCATTATAGGAAGTGCAGCAGTTTAAAGTTTCCAGCCTCAGTTTAGTTCAGTTCTTTTAAATCTCTCTTTCGCAAGTCAGTGAAATTATAAAAAAAAAAATTTAAAGCAAGCTGCAGCACATCTTTAATGGTTATTCATTTCTCCTCATTCTTTCTATGGAGGCAACTGGCTAAAACTTTGTATGTGTACAAGTCTGACCTGTCTCATACCAGAAGATCATTGCAACTTACACAGCATTTGAAAAACAGCGCACAGTGGCTAGTGGATTCCAGACTGATTTTAAATGGTTGGATGTTACCTGTGTGTTTTTAAACCTTACCTCTGCCATACCAGAACTAAATTGTCGCTTGACAAGAGCTTCCACCATCGTTGCATTTACAAGACAAGAGGATACAACACATCGTCTGAGCAGCGCCGCGTCTTCAGGGCAGATTGGAAGCTACAATGAGTTGCTACTGAAAAAGAGTCAACATTGGTGTTGCTTTCCACCGCTGGAAACAGCTCTTGGTGAGTAAAGGAATGAAGTTTGATGCTGAACTCGCAATATTTCTACCAGACTAGTAAGTAAACAGCTGTTAATGCTAACGTTAGCTATGTAGCAACAGAAAAACTTACAAATAGCTCCTTTAATATCAAATGTGTTTTCAGCTCACTGTCATAGAATTTCATTTTTTTTCCCCCCACCCCCACGCTCACCTCTTAATATAAACCTGTGGCAGTGTGATGACAGTTAATCATTTCACTGAAATATATACTTAAATCAATTATTATCCCAGGCTTAGTTAAGAGTTCAGTGTCTCACTCAAGGTCATGTTGTCTGCGGATCTAAAAGGGAAGAGGGAAGCTCGAGACTTCACCACCTAGACTTCAGATTGCAGCTGGCAATCTTCCAGTCGATGACCTGTTTCACTCGCCGGCTGCCAGCATTCCTCACTTTGAACTTTTCTTGCAGATTAAACATCAGTTCTCTCTCTCTCTCTCTCTCCTCTCCTCGAGTAGCTGAATCACGCAGTAGTAACGGTGAAGCAGTTGGGATCTCCTCCAATGGGACTTACCCAGAGCTCCCTGACAGATGTCCGTCCGAGTCGCTCCGTCTACAATGAACTCGGGCCTCTTGCAGAACTCCTGTCGACAACAAAGAGACAAATGAGGTTGGTTGTGCTTCTCTTTGGACACAAATTTATCAAACATACTTTTGCTGTTTTTACATGCTGTGTCAGTTAGAAAAAATACTGAACCGATTTGCGCCAAACTTGGTGGAAGGAAAGAAGAACCCATTCAATTTTGGCGTGTATCCAGTGAAAGGGGCGGATCCAGGAATTCTTTGATCACTATCCTTAACATTGCCAGATTTATGGATTGGATATGGATTTATGGATCTTGATGTTAAAAAAATCAGACATATATTTGGATGTTGACATCAATTTGGTGCAGATCCAGATAATAATCCGGATCTGGTGGAAGTAAAGTAATTAACATTTCAAGAAAACAATGTTACATTCTTGTGTCTCTTTCCCAGTATTCCCTGCCTCACAAACCATCTTCAACTCAGCATGTTGAGCGTGAGAAACCCTGAATGGTGAAGCTATAAAAAGAAATACTCCATTTGTCCTTGCGCCCCACACACAGCTGCACACAAACCAGTAGACACATGGTTGAATTCACAGAAACTCTAAGCACCGCACACAGACTTTAGTTGTCCATTTTCAGGCTCACACAGAGCACAGATTTTTATTTTTTTTGTGAACGCCATGAATCCACTTATGCAGCGTGGATATTACAGATCCTGTGGCGCAGGCATTGTGAAACATCCAACTTTTTGGGGAGACGACACCCCGGGAAGCTTTTGAACAGAGACACACACACACACACAACACACACACACACACACACACAGGACATACACATGTGTGTATGTAAATGGGAGCTGCAGTCACGTAGACGATCACGACCCTGCGAAGCTTTTAAGATCACGACTCGTCTCGCTGCGCTTTTCGCAGGGCTGACAGCAGCGACCTGTCACGGTATGTGCAAATCAGACAGTAATGAGTGTGTGCTGTGTTCAGGGCTGCCGTGATAACACCTAATGAAGACAGCCCCACTCAGCTCTCTGGTGTCATATTCGGCTACACAAAGGACCCCTGGTGTATTTATAATGTAGTGAGCACCGATGAGAGACTGAGAGAGGGAGAGACACAGAGACAGGCATGACGGCACAAATCAAGATGAAGAGAAAGCTCTGATACACTTGCTACCTCCCTGAGACACTTACAAGGCCTCAACTGCACCAAACAGGATTCCTGACTGGTGTTACTGGAGCATTAAAATAATATCTACCAATTATTCCAGACTGAAAGTTTAAGTTACCAAGCAACAGATGAAAGTCAAGGCTGCTCGGAGGAGCACAAATATTTTAAAAGGTTTAAAGAAAAAAAGGCTTCAAGGAAGGTTTACCACAGAGTGTGTCATCGACTCCTGAAGTCACCGGTCGATGTCTGATGGATTTTGTAGGATGATGGAGCAGGTAGAAAGTTCGTGACCATGCTTCCTTCATTAAGTTAAAGGATCGTACCTGTTTTTTTTTTTGGTTTTTTTTGCATGTACAAAGAATCACATATAATATACAGTTTGTGTGCCAAAGATTTCCAGGGTGAGGAATGTGTGTTTTTATGTCTCCCACTGATTTATGTAGCCGACACCAAACTCATCTTGAGTATTATTCTAGTCCTATTATGATCCACTTTGTCGTCCTTTAATCCCATCTGACTGTTTTTGCACATGGTATGCCTGTAAATGTTTCACAATAAAAGCCCTGTTAAGAAATGAAGGTTTTTCTGTCTATTGAAACACTACCTTTTAATTTGAAACGGTCACAGGAATATTTACAGGATTATCTCTTATATGTTCCTCAATAAATTGGGTTGGCTCATTCATGCTGTGACAGAAGACTCCACTGGGATCTGTAGGGTTTATTCAGCACAGTCCGGCTAAGTGGATGTCAACAGTTTGATAGAGGACTGAAATGAAATTACAGAACCTAACTGTGTGTCTCATGACCTTGCTGCAATGAAGATTTTGTTTTTGCAAGGGTGAGCAGTTCATCACTTTTCAAAAAATAATATGAATATCCCAGCTGGGACACCTCCAAATTACTCAGATCTATCCCAGCTCTCCAACCCCCCCCCTCCATTTCTCACCGTGGGCCTCATCCAGCGGACTCCGTGGGTCTTGGAGGATCTTGGTCCGAGCTCATCGAATCCCAGAGATGACGCAGCGCACGGGAACAGGTTATCCTCAAACAGCCTCCCACTCCGGAGGCTCTGGGCTCTCATAGACTCAAAATCCTGACCCAGAAACTTCACCGCCTTGTGGTTCTGTCCCAGACCTTCGTCACGATCCCACTGGCTCCTGAGCCTGGCGGCCATGCCTGTGGCGTAAATGCGCTCCTCCACCATCCTGAGCTTGTGGGGTTAACAGTGAGGGGTCGACTGTCGGTCTCTGCTGGATATTTTTATATGCGTGGAACTACAATAAGATGTTAGGATGTGTCAATAATTAATGAGGCAACTGTGACCTATTGCATCAACAGCTTGTACAAAAAGCACTGCAGTGGCACTGACGTATATCTGATATAAGGTGGAAATGGCTTCAATCATAAATCAGAATGAAACATTAGTGGCCATTAAGGAGCTATTAAATATTGACGAGACCAGGCTGCCGCTTGGTTGCGGTACTTGTGGTTCTGCTGTAGCTGGATGCTTCAGATGCTATAACAATGACAAGTGTAGAAGCTGTGGAGAGAGAGAGAGAGAGATGTCGTCCTCACAGCAAAGGCAGATCCTGTCCCGATCAACGGCGATCACCAGCCAGTAAACCCCTAAAAGAAAGAAGTCAGAAGTGAGACACTGAACGGAGGAAGTATGAGAGAGGCGTGTTCATACAGAGCTCTATACCTTTGTATAGGACACAGACAAAAGCAGCAGCTGTATACACCCTCTATATACACATTCAGGGTGTAAAAGACAAATGAGGCCTCTCTTGATTCTTCAGTCAACAACACACACACACACATACACACACACACGTTAGCTATGCATAGCAAGGGGAGATTAGTCACAACAGGCGTACCAGTGCTACTTTTACTGCACGCTGCTGAATGTGTACAGTATCAGTCAGAGAGTCAGGGTCTCATCAGACAGGTGTATTAATCATGGTCTGTGAATGGCAGGCCTCTGTGCATGTGTGAAGTGTATTTACAGCGCACTGAGCTAACAGAGGGTGTGGTTTAGTGTTTAGTGAATCTTCATGCACAATGGAGAGCACAAGACGCAGAACAAGCAAAAGCTCTCTCCGACTCTTTAATTAAGCACAGCTGGGGAGGCGGGAGGGTAAACTGTCATTAGTGCCACCGGAGAGTTCATCTCAGTTCCTCTTGTCTTTGCATCGCCATGCATCTCTCCGTCTGTGTGTTTCTGCCCAACACACACGGATACACAGATGTGCACCAAAGACATGTTCATTTTTAACAGCTCTCCTGTTTTTTTTGTTTTGTTTTTTTTTAATTCACTTCCAGCTCCGTCTCTTTTTTTCAACCACCTCGACTCCGAGCTATCAAAACTTTACACTCTTCCTGTTTCAAGCCTCGGCTATCAATCGTGTCAGAAGCTGAATAAGAGTTTTGGCACACAGAGCGGAGCGGAGCCCTGTTACAGTTTCCTCTGCTCGCTGAGAACCACACCCATTGAACATGGCTCACTTCACTGACTGCAAAATGTTCCTGCTCACGGAGCCAGAGAACAGAGCGTGCGGTCGTTTCCAGGACTGTTATTTTACAGAGTGTGAGAAGTTGCTTTATTGTGAGAAATTGTGTGAGTGAATGTTTTTATTACCACTAGAGCTTCCGCTGCTGGTGCCATGACTCCTACCACCACTACAATATCTAAAACTGTTTCTGCTGTTCCACTGCTGTGGCTTCTTTTGCCACCACTAACAGTATCAGTTAGGTTTGGGTATCTAACTTCAGTCATCTGCACTCTTCTTTACTTATTGTTGGATCAGCCAGTGTCTGATCAGCCAGTGTCTGATTTCAATTTTTTTTATCCAGGTGAAGGTCCTGTTTTAATATTTTTCAAAATAAAGTACCAAATAAAGTATTGCTTTGGCCTTGGAACCAAAGCTATGTTACTCTTATTTGCATGAGACATTTCAGATCATACCCTGCATTCTTACTACTTTCACTACGAATGCTATTACTGTCACTAAGACTATCACCACTGTGTGTGTTGTTTTTTTATTTCTGTCACAGCCCACATATGAATATAAGACAGCAGCTGCAGCATACAGCTGAAGTGATCAGATGTCTGCAGACAAGTAGCCTATAAAACTGACCTCAACATATAAGGAGCAACAGAACAGGAAATGGACTTTGTCTTCAGTCTCCCCTTACTCACACAACAAACAAAGCCTTTCCTTCTTCCAGGAGCACATTAAATCTGTTTCTAGCACTAACTGCAGTGTTCTTGAACGCAACTCTGCACATGCACACCTCTGACTTTTAGTGAAATTCTACTTCCGAGAGGCAGTTTAGGTTCGTGCCATGAATCAGGGAGACCATGTTTCTTTATACCTGGAACAGTGTGTGCTGAGTTTCACGTATATAACACCGAAACCTCGTTTGAAAAATAAAAAGTAGATTAATCATGCAAAATACAGATTTCACCCCACTGGACCAAGGATGTCCATGCAAAATGAACTATTACTAAATCTACTGTTTCTACTGTTACTGCAACTATTACTGCAGATCCTATAGTAAAATACATATACACTGAAACACTGCAAATAATGATTTTATGTGGGACATTTTTCCATTTTTAAGTGACTGTAATAGCAGTTATTATAGAAAATCAGCAGAAGTAGGTTGGCTACAATCACTATAATCAACAACAAAGTATAACATGTTTCATGAACATCCCAGCCATTTTGGTGGTTTTATCTCTGCTGCATGTTATCGGGGCGCACTCAGACCCAACGCGAGTTCAATCTGGATATGATGAATATTTTATTTCCCCTCACATGTGAAACACGCTCACACACTCATAGATATCCTCCACCTCAGTGCAGGTAGTGACATCTATGAGAAACGACAAGCAGTACACTACATGTCTAGGCTACTGTAAGCAGAAGCCTCTGGGCTTTCTCACCAGCAGCTACAGTCTAACAGCAAAGAGCTGAATTATAATACACGAAAACAACTCTGCGGGAGCTGATTCATTTAAATGGAAATGTATGCTTTCAGCTGAACCATAACATTGTGTGTTTATGTGTTATGTCACAGCTGCGTATTGAAATAACTCCAAAGGCATCAACATGGTAATTCCTCAATGACAGGGCGAGTAATGAACGGCGGCCATATGCGACCAGCATGATCACTATAGGCTGCACACATATTATGTTATTATTAGCTGTTATTATGCAATATGAAAGAAGATATGGGTCATGCAGCTACAAGGAGGAAAAATGTACAGTATATGCAGAGAGATAGGGGGGGACACACAGGGGTCACATGAGTCTACCAGCAGACAAACACAGACTCTGAAACCAATACAAACGTCAGTAGAGTGTGTGTCATGACTGCTTTTCTGCTGATATGTGTCTGAGTCTAACATTGCAAGCGGTTCCCTCCTCACCACAAAGTGAGGGACTCAGACTGCTTAAATTCATGCTGAGTGTAATAACTTAAGTAATGCCTGAGGGTGTGTGATGTGCAGTGTTTGTGCCATGAGTAAGCATTCTGACCGCCTCGGTGTATTTCTGCATGCGGGCTTCATATTCCAAACCCTGTGAAATGAAATATCCAAAGTATCTTTTAGCTTTGAAGCCTTGCAGAAAATAGACATGCAGAGGAACTAGACACACACAGTGTCCACTGAAGCGGAATGAATGCTGACTATGGGAGTAATTTTTATCAAAGTGGACGATGAAACAGCCTTAAAAACAGACTGAAAACACTCAGTAGATTTTGTGATTGAATATCAGGCCACTTAAGTGTACGTTAAAGATTATGTTCATGCATATTAAAACTTTTAGATGGGCATATGGTTCACACAGATAAGCATGGAGTCCTGATGGTAGGTGCGGTCCCTGAGAGGAGATAACATATCCAGCTTTATTCAAAGCTGCAACTTTTTCAAGTTGATCAACGCGAACAGCTGGGCGACCCATTTCGTTTCTCCCCCCTTCCATCAAATCTATAACCTATAAATTTCGCGGAAATAACCGCGCCACATTGGCAGATTTCACGGTTTTTGGTGCTGCCTTGAAATCTGTACCAGTCTGATCTTAATGCGAGGAGTTGAGTTTACACGATAGGTCACAGTTTTCACAGTGCAACGGTTCACAAACTTCAAGCTCTCCTCATAAAGAAAAAAAAAAAAAAAGTTCAGACTAGGATGTCAAACATATTTCAAGATTTACAGCTTCTGGCAGTACACGACAAAGAAAGAAAACAGTGTTGGTGAAGGAATTTCATATTTACCTTGAAGAGTATTTCCTTTTTTTTAAAAAAAGCAGTTGTTTTGACATTTAACATACTACTTGACTTTCTCTTCCCCCTTCCATGTTTAGTGTAGGTCCGTCCCCTCCCCTGCTCTCGTCTACCAGCGCTTATTTAGCTTATTTAGAGACGCCCCGCTGCCTCTACCCTGGTCTATTCGATCTAATGTGCCCACTTCACAGTGCGCCTGCGCAGTGCCCGCTACTCATACAACACACTGTACTGGAAGGGAGGGCTTTATACTCTCTGTTTTTCATGTAGATGTTTTATAGTTTTGTTAGATTAATTGCATGGATATAATTGGACATTCGATGTGCTTAGGTTTTAACAACGAGACATTATGTGTTCCCATAATGTGCATTATCATGCGTGTCTACAGTAGCTTTGTCTACTTTTTTCCAGTACTAATACAGATGCAACATTAAACGGCTGCATACACATTAATGCATCGGTAATAATTATTCACTTTTATAACATGTGTATTTGGCTTTTTTCATCTCCTCTATATTCCATGTTGGATACCTAAAAGCAGTGAAATGTTATTCCTTTAAAGTTTTGTCATGCAGAATCGTATTGCAAATGGTTTGGTTACATTGATTTCCGCAATACCGGACGTTTTAAAAGGTATAAATATTGAAGTTTTATCATACAAAATCTTAAAAGAATATTCTTAACAAGATTTATAGAGTCAACACTGACATCTGGAGGCTATAATCTGTAACTACGTCTTTTTTCCTTTCAGACTTCACGTCCCAGGGGGCAGTGCGCGTTCCCCATCATGCATCGCGCTAGTGCCATTCTCGCTCTCGTGTGTCCTCCGCTGCCGCCGTTGTTTCATTGAGAGAAGCTCAACATGGCCTCAGACGGACCACCGGGAACCGAATCCCTCCCGTCTGATTTAGGGAGTGCTATTGCGGCTTTGAATACATGGAGCAACCCGGAACTTCAGGCCAAGCTGGCGGAGCTAGGAGCGCCCACAATGGGTAAGAAAAAGAGTGGGAAAGACGAAGAGAGCAGTGAAAGAAGCGCTGTGTTTAGCTAACAGTAGCTAGTCAATTGCTAAGGCTAGCTAGTAAAACGTAATACTTACGTTGCGATGAACTAAATGTGGGCCTGTTTACACTTTGAGATTCATATTTATGCAACTATTATGCAAATACGTTATATTTTAACCAATGCGACGTTTTTAAAGCAAAACTGTCGGCATTTGTTTTGCTTCAAGCTACCTTTCAGAGCTAGCTAAGCACTTACCAGAGTTACCGTTAGCCAACTTTTCTGTTGGTCTGTTATGTGTGAAGCTAAAGTGGCAAAACATTTGTTCTTACATTCATAGACTACTGTCTGTGTTGTGTCATGACTGGTGCCGACATATTTCTGAATATTTTTTCCAGGTCCCAGAGACGAGCTGATTGACAGACTGAAGGGCTACATGATGCAGGTAACTCAGCCGCCGTGCCTTAAGTGTAACAGCAGTTCCGTAGCATTAACATTGATGTGGGTGTCTGAATGTGTGTCCCTCTTAGGCATTAGCATGTCGCCAGGGAATGTATGCATGCAAGCATGTACATCTCAGCAGCTCTCATACTTGCTGTGATTAGCACACTGTTGTACTATATGTGGATTCAGCTTGGTACATCAATAGCTCTCCACTGTTGATGACTGTACAGCTACATAAGAGTAGTAAGGATTAAAGAGGTTTCTCAAGCATACCTAAAGAGTGCAGTCTAGACCTGCTCTATATGAAAAGAGCCCTGAGATAACTTCTGTTGTGATTTGGCACTATATAAATAAAAGTTGACTTGACAATCAGTGATTGAATGAGAGGGTTTTTTGGCCATTTTTGTGCCACAGCCTGTGTTCATTTGTTGTGCATCTGTTGCTTTCTGCAGACTGGGATTCTCCTCAGCAAACCCAATGATGACAAACAAATGGGCTCCCAGGTAAATGTTCTTTCTATATCATATTCACAAAATGCCCTCCTATATCTATCCATGCAGTGACAAATGATTAGATCACTGTGTAATCAGGTCTTTCAGGGATTTATGGGTATGATAGTGCTAACAGTTGAGTGTGTATTACAAACTAAATGTGTGCATTGTATGCTAAAGTTGATGGAGGATTAGGTATTTAACACCCACTTTTGAAACTGGCATGACTGTGTTGTAATAGAATATGACGGTATAGGACAAGAGTCCAATTTTTGGTTATATACAAATAATTATGCAGTTGGTATAATGCACCTAGATTCTTCTCACAATGTCCTGTATTTCCTCCTCCACAGATGCCGGGTATCCCTCCTATGCCCCCGATGCCTATGCCACCCATGCCTCCTGGTATGGGCATGCTCCAGGCTATGAGCATGATGCCCGGAGGGCCCCCTCCACCTGGCATACACATGGGAATAGAGCCCCCAGGTTTGCCCCCTCCCGGCCTGTCACAGGATGATCAGCTGAAGATGGCTCAGCAGAGAGCAGCCATGGTGTTACAGCAGGAGGAGAGAGCCAAGCAGCAGGTGAGGGGGGGGCTAGACCACAGGTTTACTGACTATGTAATCCACTTGCTGCATTTAGCTTTGCCTATAAAACATTACACTGAGATGCAAGCAGACTATCAGATAGTAAGACTTAGAAAAAAAGAAAAAGAAGGACCTATATCAGATTTCCTCAGTCATTAATGTCTGTGTATATCACAGGGTGATTCCAGAGTTATGGATGAACAGGATCTCCTGGAGCAGCAGAAAAGGGTGAGAGGATGAAGATGGTCAGCCTGTCAGACACCCCATTATGCTTGATTATCAGACAACAGGCTTTACTCCAAATTGAAAGATTATTGAAATGCTACAGAAATGGATGTTGTGTGTATATTTCTTTTTTGTGTCACTAAAATCTCATTTGAATTAAATGTTGTTTTTTAAAAAAAAGTCCTTTGAATCCTTTCATAACACTTATGGCATCCTTTTCATTTTGTACAGCTCTATCTTTTTCATCTCTCTTTTATTTTCTTCCACCTTGATTCTACTTATTTTGTTTATTCATGTATTTCATGTCTCTCCCTCTCTTTGTACATCAGGCTGCAGTGCTGCTGGAACAAGAGCGTCAGCAGGAGATGGCCAAGATGCAGGGTCCGGGGCCCAGGGCCATGCCTCCCGTCAGCGCAGTGAGAAGTATGTTGGTGACATAGTGATTCATTTTAATTTCAGATTTCTAATTCCTGCTGCACAGTGTGACCACATTTTTTGGTGTAAATGATCACGCCCAAAATTAATATCTTGCATCTCCTACAAACTGTGTGTAGTAGGTTTGGACCCTCGTGGGCCGCTGCCTCCCGGTGTGAGTATGATGCCGACCCAGAAGCAAAGAGTGCCGCCTCCTCCAGGAGAGGACAACAGAGAGGTGAGCAGACTTTTTTTCCTCTTTGTGTGATTTTATGTGTTATAAGTTTCAGAGACATCTTTCATTCATTCACAATGGGGGTCTACCTTGTGCTGTACACTCACCTAATCACAACTTCTTCTTTTTTTTTTGCTTCCATCCCAGGCCTAGCAGAGCGAGGAAGTGAGTATCAGTGGACCTAAGATCCCCCAGGCTCTGGAGAAAATCCTCCAGCTGAAGGAGATAAGACAGGAACAGCTCACCGACCCCGCAGGTCAGTGCAGCTATCGACTGAGTTTTCCCTGACCGACCAAAAAAAAAAAAGGAATAGCAGCTTTTGGGGGTCTGATTCTTCTCATTATATCTTCTCTACCTTTCAGAAGGGGAGGACGATGATGATGATGAGGGAGCAGACATGGACATGGCAAACTCCTCTGGTCCAGTCATGTCTGAGACAGAAGACGACGAAAGCCAAATGTCTAAGAAAGATGTAAGTATTTCTCTCCAACCGTCTTACAGTGAATACAAGGTGCTTTTAAGACATGGCATGAGGGATCTGTACATACTAAACAAGGCACTCGACTCATGGCTTCATGGTAATGCAGAGGCAAATTCACCGTTTCAGCACCAGAGAAATGTATCACATTGGATATTTGAGTCAGATCTCATTCATAAATAAGAGCATATGTGCGGTTGTTGTGCAGATTTCACACCACTATCGCAGTCCTCTTGTGTGTGTGTGTGTGTGTGTGTGTGTGTGTGTGTGTGTGTGTGTGCGCACATCACCCAAATTAGGCCTTATGATTGTGCTGCCATGTTGTAATCCAAATATTAACCGGTGCATAATGCATAAAGGAACCTGTTTTTTCACGTTTTTAATGAATATTTTGTAGTTATTGGTACTCTTTATGTTTTTTAAAATAATGAACAAATCTCTTTTCTCAGAAAAACCGCAAGCGCAGGAACCGCAAGAAGAAGAGCAAGAAGAAGCGAGCTCAGGAAAAGAAGGAGCAGGCGGAGCACGAGCAGCAGCAGAAGAAGGAGGGTGGCGACAAAGAAAAAGAGAAGGAGAAGGAGAAAGAGAAGGAGAAGGAAAAGGAGCCAGAGGTAGAGATCGAATACATCACAGAGGAGCCGGAGATTTACGACCCCAACTACATCTTCTTCAAGAGGATCTTCGAGGCGTTCAAGGTAAGAAACATGAGCGTGCAGGAGGCTTAAATGTTGGTTGAAGATTATGTTTTGTTGCTTACAGTGTATTTTCCCTTTTACTTTGGTTTTGCTGTAATTCAGTCGTTTCTTTTTCTTTCCCAGCTGACAGACGATGTTAAGAAAGAAAAGGAGAAGGAGCCAGAGAAGGCAGAGAAGCAGGACACAGCTGTGCTGCGGAAAAAGGGATTCGAGGAGGAGAAGAAAGACAGCGACGATAGTGATGAGGTTTGAATCCCTCCACCTGTTAGGAAACCAGAACAGAAAACAAATACCTGCTTTCTTTAAGTGTTAAAACATTTTAAATGTTTTTTCATGTACAGGAAATCAGACCAGATGCACCTAAACTGTCCAAGAAGAAGTTGAGGAGGATGAACAGGCTGACTGTGGCTGAACTCAAGCAGGTAAATTAAGATTGGTCCTTTTTTCTGTTCTTGCAGTCTAAAAGGAAATGGATGTTTTTCGAGACAAATAAAGACAATGACCTTTCATGTAATCTCTCTTCTGCCTGTTTGCTCCAGCT